GGCCGGACGTGGCTCATTCTCCTCCAGACGATCACGGCGTCCGGGTGGATGGTGTTGACGCAAACGGTGCGTTGGCGACGAAAGGTTGGGCTGGCATCATGATTCTCGTTGTTGCGTAGACGCAAAGCACGGGGAGCCCTGTGGTGGCTGGCATCTACTTCAACGCGTTGCTGTACATTGGGATGTGTTTTCTGCTGCAACTCAACATGGCCGTGTTGTTTACCGAGTTTGAGAAGGCAAAGGACCAGCAGGCGAAACTCATGGAAAGGACCGAGTATGTGTGCTGCTCTTCTATCTCATGTCGTGATTGACCGTCTCGATCAGGTACCAGCTCGTATCAGAAATGTCGTTTGGATTTCCGATTCGTACAATCGGTCGGCTTGAGAATGCCCCTGGTGTGAAAGCGTTGATGACCCGAGCGATAAAACTAGCCAACAATCGCAGCGACGTTGTCGTGCAATCGGCGGCCGGGCGGCGGATACTTTCGTGGCGACGGCGAGTGTCCCGGTTCGTTGTGTCCAAGCGCTTTGTCAACTGTGGTGTCGCCGCAACGGTGGCCAACATCGTAGTGTTGGCTGTGGACCATCACGACATTCCAGTCTCAACCAAACAGGCGTGCGAGATCGTCAATTTTACGTTCATGATGTACTTTGGCGTGGAGTCGGCGCTCAAGATCTTCGGGATGGGCTTTACCCGGTTCTGGAGGTACGTGGCCGCTGACACAATGTCGTGAGCTTGCTCACACGCTGGCTTGTGGCAGGGACAAATTCAACCGGTTCGACTTGCTTACGTTTGTGATGGGAGTCATCGAAGCCGCGGTGAACCCGCCGTCTTTCGTGGACGGCACGGTTGGCTCGTCGGGGTTCTTCACCGCGTTTCGCGCCGCCCGAGTGTTCAAGTTGGCGCGGATGTGGAAATCGTTGAACCAGTTACTGTCGGCAATTCTGCAATCGCTGGGCGAGATCCTGAACTTTATGCTGTTTCTTGTCTTGTTTCTGCTCATCTTTAGCCTCGTGGGGATGGAGGTGCGGCAGGAACTGTTTCTTGGTCAAACCCAGCGTGACTCATGTGACGTGTCTAGCTCTTTGCAACGCGATACCAGTTCAACCCGGACAACTACTCGATGCCGTTCAACAATTCGAACCCCCAAACTCGCCTCCACCGGTCCAATTTTGACTCGCTGCCGTGGGCCGCGTTCACGGTGTTCCAGCTCCTCACGTACGACAATTTTCCCGCAGTCATGTACGATGGATGGATATCTGTCGGCGCGTGGTCCCCCGTGTACGTGTCGATCGTGATAGTCCTCGGCGTGTTCATTGTGATGAACATGTTCTCGGCCATTCTCGTTCAAAGTGTCATGGACGGCAATGGCGACGTATTGAGCGAGCCAAGCGACGACGACGACTTCGCCGTCGACTCGCAAAGCAACGGCACTTCTAGCGTAACTTCTCCATCCTCTACGAACGGGAATGACCACCGAAGGACGTCCATTGGGCTCAAAAGCGCACGTATCACGAAAAAAGCCATGCGGAAACTCCTGCGTCTGCATCTCCTCCATGCATTCCAGCCACCACGCCACCATGCGCATGGACCGCCTGCTCATCTAGTCCACGGGGGGAAAAGCCTCTTCCTCTTTTCCCACAAAAATCCCGTCCGTTTGTTCTGCTGCCGTCTACTCAATCGACGTGAGTACACGTGGGTGATGAGCACCATCATCTTTGTGTCGTGCGTGGGGACAGCGCTCGATTCGCCCCTGCAAGACTCGACGACGGGCCTTGGCCTCGTCCTGGACACGTCCAACTTGGTCTTTGCCGTGTTGTTTTCCATCGAAATGGCACTCAACGTGATCGCGCGGGGTCTGCTGTTTGGCCCGGACGCGTTTGTAAAGGACTCGTGGCGGCTCCTCGACGGCTTCATCGTGTTCGTGTCAGTGTTGCCATTCTGTCTGGG